AAAAAAAAAAAAAAAAAGGTATGACTTATCCCAGTTGAGCTTATCCAGACTAGAATCTAGGAAATATCAACTCATACTAAGCAATGCTCCGGTTGTTTTTGTAGTGCATACTTCTTGGGGGTTTCCTAAGAGCCTGACCATACTATAAAAACAACAAGGGAGCTGCTGTGTACATTGCTCTGTCCTCGATTCTAGCCTGGATAAGATCAACTGGAACAAATCAAGATTTTCCTTTCCACGGTGTACACTCTGGGGTTTCAACTCTTTTGTACCTTTAAATTGCCAACAGGTATGCTTATAATAGCTGTCCTTTAACAATTAAAGTATAGTTCAACCCCAAGGCACAGAAACTGGCCTTATAGATGTCCTTGAGCAATCCCAAAGCTGTAGCCTACTGAAACTCTTCCTGTAGTAGAATCAGCAACAAGCACCCTTGAGGCCAAGCACTGCTCAAGATTTTAGCACGCTGAAGCATTTGGGAAAGAATTTGTTTATATTACAAAAAATTACTGTGTTTTAACTGCACTGCAGGCGGGTCACTCAGCCCCACGGTACCTATAGAACCGATGGGGCTGATTCTAAGGACTCGTCTGCACTGAAAAGGAAGCCATTTTAGTTAAACAAGTCAGAAAACAATTCAGGCTAACATGGTAGGCATACCACCTACACTGAAAATTTGAGAACTATTTATATTGGTAACACTGTAGTAAGGGACTGTTCTTGTTATGCAGCACTTCCATTCTGGTATGCTTCCAGCACCAATGCACTTCCCTTATTGGAGAACGATGGAAAGCTGTCCCTAAAGCATACTAACAACATCCATGGCAATTCACTAAGCATTGCAAAACAGTTATTATTTTAAAAAGAGGGGAAACAAAAAAAGATACGCACAGAGGCCGTAGCAAAACCAGACAAACCTTTCAGCTGTTTATCAAAGTGCTCACAGTTCCCATTTCAAGGCTGGTGAAAGTCAAATATTGAGCTGAAAATGTCAATCTGGAGAATTTTAATAAATCAAAATCAGCACAGACAAGTTGGCTCTTTCCAGCTCTTGTTTTGTGAAGAAATTCTGATTTTGGCTGGCAACCAGACACGATTTGAAACAGCCAAGACATTACACCCTGAGAACTGAAGGTTGATAAATCTTAAGTAACAATACTATGCAGTAACACTGCACTGTAAGACTCTGAAGTGATGAAAGCTGTATGAAAAATAGCTGTTGTGCATGCTCAGTAGCTAGTTTTCAGAAGAAGCCTGTATCTTGGGTATTTCAAAATTTCAAAAATACCAAAAAGCATCAACTTACATAAAGGATTGTGAGTCTGTCCAGGCATATTTACATTCAGTGCATCTTTCACACAATGCCAGAGGCTACTGAGGCTCAAGCTCACCACCTTTTTGAGAAGCTTGCCACTGTCTCAAAAAAATGCCAACCAAAGGAATGGAGGGGTCATCACTCCTTTATGCAGTGCTGCTTTTTCTTAAACTTTTTCTTTGCAATAGCTTTCCTTTCTATACAGCAAGCATTTGACAATCATATGATAAATGCATTCTTAGAACGAAAACGTAACTGAAAAAAAGCATAAAACTAAATTTCTATCAAGTTCAATAGGGTTTTATCTGTTTTGCAAACTGCTAAAACATGAAATGCTGGTATATTCAACCAGAAAGCAAAATTTTGGCTTATTCCTAAACCTTGCATTTGTTCACTGTTTTACCTTTTACAAGCCTTTTAACTTTTAAATACTGAATTATTGAAATTCACATAAGCTGAAATAGGCTTTAAAAAGGCTAGGGCCTGGCCTTCCCTTAGAACTTCTACCATAGTTACCTAGCGCATAGTGAAAGAGGGAGAAAAGAATACCTTTCTACCTGACATAGCTGTGCTAAATGAAAATCCTGTAAAAAAGGCAGACGCTGGCAAAAACAGTAAATCATTTTGCTTGAATAATTCAGTCTATCTTGGAACCGGATGCTGCACTGACAGCAGAAGAACTTTTTCACCAATGTGAGGTGATACACTGATATTCTGGGGTTTATCAGGATAAGCTGTACCACCACATGGTCTTATATCTAAGTGAGCCCTTATGATGTTAAAAAACAAATAAAAGAAGAAAACAAACAAACAAATCAAGTCAGAGAGGCGGTGTTAAAACACCTAAAAAATAAATGCAACCTGATGGTTTTACACATTGCTATTTTCAATTTAGGGTCTTCCCAGAAACCTCTCTTTTTCCTACAAATGTAGGATGTGAGATGTGTGGTCCAGTGTTTAGATTACAGAAATGGGAGCCATTAAACTTCTATTCCTGCTCAACTCTAATCCTTGCTTCAGCGTTGCCCAAATGTAACACTGATTTAGATACAAGGTCTTATGAGGATTCATTTGTTAAATGCTAACATCCTTCAAGATAAAAAGTGACCTAAGCATCAGATGTGTATTTTCCCCTTTAGATTTCAAGCTTTTTTGGTTAGAAAGGCTGAAAACACACCTTGTTCCTTCAAATCTGTAGAAGGAGTTATCACATCGAGTGGTACAAATTGCCTCCATTCATTTTAATGAGAGGTTAAGTGACCATAATTAGGCCTAGGAAGTCAAGTGTTAGCCTTTCCACTGCTGAGCCTCATGTCAGAAAATTACTGGAAGGATTATCCAGCACAAACTCACTTATACTTCTGTGACCTTTGCGTCCCTTGAAAAGATTAGGAATGGAAGGTCAGCGCAGATATCATTGACGCAGCAAACACTGATCATGTAAACAACTCTGAGATCTTCTGATTATTTAGATAACTGAAGCACTTACTACTGTCCTTCAGAATTAGGAGAAAAGTGATGTTTATAGTATCGTTAACTAAAAAAATGTTGGATTCGCAACAGCACGGGATTCAGTCCAGCAGTAGCAGCAAATGTAGCTAAGTTTAATAATCCAGTGCATTTGAGCAATTCTCCTGCTATTGCAGTGGTAACATCTGATGTTAAAATGTATGGCAGAACAGCACGGAAAGTGAGTTCAGAAATCCACACAGCAATGACACAGCATACGGAGCATCCAAGTTTCCTCTGAATTCACTACAGGTCAAAAGAAAACTGCTGTCACATCTGATGAGTAAATGGGTTAATTATTATGAAGTACCGGACACTTTAAACAGAGTCTGAGGAGAAAGCATTTGCAAAAATGTTCCCACCAGTGCCATCATTCATGCAGCTAAATAGGTGTTAGTCCTAATGTTGACAAGGTCAGACTCCTTTTTACAGCCATCTCCATTAGATTTCTCAAAACAGGTTTAATTAAAAATAGGTCTGGATTCCAGAGGCTTGTCTACAGTTGTGCTCCCACGGGTGCGAACACCTGTTGAGCTAAACGAGTGAGAACACTGAAGGAGGAGGAGGAGGAGGGGATGTTGTTGGTTTTTTTAAAATTTCCCTGATGTTGATGCAACTGTGAAGTTTCCCACTGGCATTCTTTCTTTTTTTATTTTTTTTAATAACATTAGAATAATTATAAATGTATTGGAGTAAAAAGGAAGGTTGCTGTATCACATTCATTTTATATACTCTGCAAAGACATATAGCTGTGTTTTTAATTAAAAAAATATAATAGTGTAAAAAAGGAACATTTGATACCCAGGGCTGTACGTCTCTAACTTAAACCTTTCTCACCACATTCCAAAAGGGGAAAAAAAGGCAGGCAGGCTCTGGAATGGCAAGATATTGTTGATCCACAGCCTTCTATGATTTGAGGTATTTTTTTAGTGTGAAAATATTATCCTTGGACAGATCACGTATTTGTCCAGTTACAGCCTGCGAATAAAGTAAACAGCTCTGAATCTCCAAGAAATAGTATTTGGAAAAGAAAGGACAACAATTCTTACATGTGGAACAGCTGTGGCATTAATCTGACACCTAAGGATATGCTGACTATGACTTCATACATCTTCCACCTTTCAGACACTTGCAGTGAGTTAATGGATATGTACGTTGCGCTGGGACACATAAGGTGATGTTTTATGAAGCAGGGAAGTGTAGCTGGTCATGAGGACATACCCAGTTTCATTCAGGTAAACGACACGGCGGCTGCCACCAAGCCACGCTGGAAAGAGCAACACTTCCACCTAGTGGGGAACCGAAGGATCAGCCCGAGACCTTGCAAAAACACAGCCTTATTTTTCCAGTCATAAGCAGTTTTAACTTGAAACTGGATTAATGAGAGAAAACACAGCTGGTAAAAATGGTGGGAAAGCCCAGCTTCTCTGACTCACGGCAGATGCAAACTAATTCTCATGAAAATAAGAATTTTACAGTGGTTACCAAAGACTTTCCTAAATTAGGCAGATATTAACAATGGACTGCATGGGGCCTGTTATGGCCTGAATCACCCCATGAATGAGAATGAGGGCAAAACCTTCAGTTTCAGAAATTACACTGGCCTCACCCACTGTTTAAAGCTGGTGTGAACACAGAACTGGGAGCTCATTGTCTGAGACACCAGTGCCAGTGATGAAAAGCAAAGAACAAAAGGAAAAAGAGAAAGAAAAAAAAAAAAAGACAGACAAACCTCAATGTTAAAGGAATTAACAAACAACAACAATAGGAAAAAAAAGAGCAAAGAGAGTAGGAATGAGTTGAGGGGAAAATGCACAGACCAAGCATCACTGACAAGAGTTTAGGAAATAGGTTTCCCTCACTCGGGATGAAGTACAATTCCAAAAGGTGGTCCTCTGACTCCATTCATAGGTCAGAATGGTTCATAGGACAGAAAACATAGCATCCTTTTAAAACTTACAATGAGACTACAGTATATAGGGCAAGGCAGTAAGGGACATTTGCTGTCTCATGTACCAAGAGTAGTCCTCAGCCACAGTACCACAGGGCTCTGTGCAGGCTAATTTGCCCGGCAGACAAAATGAGAGGTTGGTGGAATGACCAGTTTCTGCTGTCTGACTAGCTCCAGGTCCAAGCTAGTTTGGCTGATTCTCCTTGCCACCATGGAGCTGCCCCTAAGACAATGGCAACTGCCCTAGGTTCAGAGGCTCGATGTGAAATAAATGTACAAAGGCACTGCCTTAAGAAATGAGTGACTTGCTCCATGGAACAGCAGCATTTTGCTTCCCACTCCTTCCCTCTGAGTATCTATGGGTTGCAAACTACCTCCTTCTCAACTCAGCAGCCAGTAGAAATACGACTGCATTAAATACAGTGAAATAAAATTTGAGAACTGACTACAGTTCACTAAAGATCCATGTCTGCTTCAATTTTGGGAAACCAGTCTTTAAAAGCAAAGAAGTCACTAGCAAGAGGCCATGACAATGGAAAGTGCTTGCAACTACCTATTAAGGAACAACACTCAGAAAAAGCAACTTTTAAGACACAAGATCACTCCTGGCATTCAACACCTCAGCTGTGTTCTTAATGGATCGTTCATACCTGATCTCTCACAGACAAAAACCTAGCTCAGACAACCCACCAGTGAGAATTTGCCCACCAAAGCAGAGACTCTTCCTTCAAACAGGAATGTATTTTTTAGCCACCAAATGCAAAATCCTCACAGAGATGAGTTTGCCTTTCACTTCAGCACAGTCAATCTCAGTTCTCATCTAAATACAACTTAGTTACTTTCTATTAACAGTTCTCATCTAAATACAACTCAGTTACTTTCTATTAACATTGTACTTTATACTGTTCTTGTAAAGGTAAGGGCTGTCTAGAAAAACATTCTCCTCCCTTTTTTTTCCACTGTCCTTCCCAGAAGGGGCTTAGAGAAAAACTTAAGAGAAAAGTAAGCACTTTAAACTTTGAAAAATTAAGAAAAAACATCAGATTTCCCATTGTCTGTGCCTCCTTAGTTTGACCCCAAATCTGTATGAAGTCTTATGCAGCCTTTAAGATCACACAGTGTTCCCTCCACACTGAATCCTTGTCCCAGGATGGAGTAACACTGTGGCTGTGTTGCCAACAGCAATTTTGAGCTTATGGTTTTACAACCATAAATAGCACTCCTTTAATGTAATTTTGGTATGTGATGAGGTTTTCTGTCGCTGGTTGCATTTCTTTTTTACATAGAGCCAGGTAAGCCCAAAAGAAATCTAAACTATAATATGCTCCTGTTATGAAAGAAATTCGTAAGAACATGAAGCTCCTTTTCCACTGGGCAACCAATATACGTTTCAGAACCTGGTTTAGCCACAAAGCATGCTTGTTAGACATGACTAAAAACTCTCCAAGGAATATGCCTTAGTCTTCTCTGAAATCCAGAAAGCTTTAATAAGAAGTTCCTGCCCTTACAATATATTCTTTCACTTACTGGACATTTCAGCAATCAACCACACAAGTCATGAACCTTCCAGCACAGAGTACAGGGTCAGCGTGAAACTCACTGGCAAAGCAGCCCTGTATGACATCAGACCGTAACTTACACACAGACCTCAAACAAATACAGGGCTTGAAAACTAACCATTTGTTTGCATTTGATTTTTAGACTAAGTCATTTAAATCTCTTTACACATTCTGGAAAGTATTAAAGAAAATGTCATTATTAGAGGATTGGCAGAAATATTCAGCCAACCAGACAATTCAGTGAACTTTAGTCCTAGTTTGGCTGGTTAACAGTGCTGTCCTCTCTCCACACAAGCGTCAGTGTTAACTCACCAGCTGTACATAGGCGACCTTGTAATCTGGCTTCTTCACTCTCTGATTCTTGTGATTCCTCTTGTTGTTTGCACCTGCAGAAAGGAAGGGAGTCCCACCTTTTACTTCCCAGGACTTCCAAATTCCCAAAGCAAGGCCAAGCTGAAGAGGGCACTTCACTAGTTCTGGTTTATAGTTAAGAGGAGTACTTTTTCTCCAGTATCCCAATTACTGAAATGTACTGAAAATAGCACACCACTCTCCTTGTTTACAAGCAGGGAATGGAAGCAGCACAAAACTCAGGCTGCTGACAGCCACTGTGCCTTTACGTCACACACAAAGTTTGCAAAGCAGCAAAGAGGTAAGTCTCCTGAGTAAGGGGCCAGGAGCAACAAACTGTCCTCTCAACATCAACAGCTTCAGGAAGACAAGGAGGAACTGACCACTAACCAGCTTCAAACTTGTCAATTTTTACTACCCAGCTAATAAGCCAGATCTACTGTTTATACACCAGGAAATTACACTCCACACCCAAAAAAAACCCAAAGCACCTCAACCTTCTGCAAGTATTCTGGTCCCAACTGAGTGGGAAGTTCAATTTATTCCCTGCATGTTAGGCAGACATTAAAACTCTCAAACTATTAGACATTATAACCCCCTTTCCTCTTTTATCCCTGAATATATACATTCTACCATCACTTCCATTAGCAGTGGGGTACAAAATGGCTATAAGGACAAGTATGAATATTTCTAGTCCTGTTTGGAACTGCATGTGTTTGGTATTTAAGACTTTATTTAATTCTATTTTTCACATAAGCATATTACCGATGATCTATTTTCTTTTCCTTCTTTTATATGTTCTGAATTTTATGACCTTATTGGAAGCTTTTTCTTTCATTCTCTGTTTTTCACTATTACAGCTCTTTTTTCCTGCCCCTTTTTTAAAATCATCCCTAGTTTTACCATTATAAACACATCAATGAACTCCTTTGCTAGAATCACTGCATGAAAAAAGGAAAAGACAGCCATCAAAGATGTCCTAATCAATAAATCAATCTCCATTTGATTAATGCACTGCCTGGTGATCAAAAAGGTAAGCAACATGAAAATTATATTCCTGAGTTTTCACTGCATCCACACTGCAGTCAGAGAAGCTCTGGGGAAGTAAACATTCATATGTGAAGGCCACCTATATAAATTTATCTTATTTCAGTTACAGGTGGGTCCCTCTGCTCCAAGTCAGAGTCCAGCATAACTTAAACTATCAATGTTTTTTGTTTTTATCTTGGGTTGGTTTTATGTTGTTTTTTTCAGTTTGGGTTGTTTTTTTTTATAGGGGAGAAACACCATGAGTGGAAGCATACATGTCTGTAGAAGAAACATGGTAATGACAGGTGATGAAAAATTGAAAGTTTGTCAAGATGTTTTTTCTGACATTATCAATTGGTCTACTAGAATACTTTTCTTTACTCTACAAACTTGGCCTTTTATTAGACCATTAACACCTCCTCTGTGTGCATGCGTGGTAAGATTAACTCACATACTTGTTTTTTTTAAGAAAAGCTTATGGCTGAAATTTAATTACTAATGTTATTAAAACACATAAAGAAGTTTCTTCAGAAGTGAGACACCCACTGGTCTTCAGGGAGAAATGGTACCAACTACAAAAGTATACAGCACAAGCTAGAACACTGTCAAGACGGTAAGGCTTTTTAAATTCAGATTTTTCTTTTTAAAACTGTCATAATCTAATCCAAGCATTCAAATATGAAGGGGACAAATAAACAGCTATGTGCCAGATGTAACCAGCTAAGCACCTGAACCCAAAGTTCATTGAAATCTAGTGGATATTTTGAGATTAAACGCGTATTCTGGCTGCACAGGGATGCTGTATTCACCCCTTTGGATTACTCAACAGCACTTACCATACTGTATCCTTGTCCTCACAGCAGCTACTGGCACATTGTATATTTTTTCAAGGTAATTCTTGATATCCACTTTTGTCATTCTAGGCAATGCAAAAACATTTTGGGGAAAGAAAGATGGAAAAGTGTAAGTATTTAAATAAAATAAAACAGAGCCAGATTGTTTATAGACTTGTGATACTCTGAAATAAGTATGTCTTCTCCCTTTTAGCCATGGTAGCTTTACTGCACAAAAGTATAAACTCAAAACACACACTGCTACATCAATTCATTATCCATAAACTGTAACAATGACAAAAATTTTATCTTCTGTAGCCTCAACAGTAAAAACCCCAGACTTATTCTGTATTCAGCATGAGCGGGTAGGCTTTCTCACTGCCTAAGCCAAAGAATCCCTTCTAGTCTTCTGAATAGCATCTGCTAACCTTTTCAGGACCTGCTACAGGCTTGTGGGCTTTAGTGTGTGCAGCCAGATCGGGGAGGATGAAAGAGTCCTGACAAACACCTGGACATCATCTCTTTTCCTATGGATTATTTCATAAGCACTTCCTTCTTCCTAAGCCAGTCCCCGGAAAGGCAGAGCCTCACTAACAGGCAGGAAGAGGGGCCAAGCAAAGCTCGTCCTTAAATGCCTTTGCAGCCCTCTAAAAGGTCTCCCTGAGGCAGAAGCCCCTTCCCCCGGCCCGGAGGGAGCTACCTGGCACTTCACCTTCCAGCTAACCAGACAAGCTGCAGCCTAGAAGGAGGTGACAAGAGGCAGTGTGGCGGGACGTGTGGCACTGGGGGGTTGGGGGGGTGTGCTCCAAAAGTGGCGGGGGCCCCTCTGCCCCCCTCCCCGGGCGGCGCCGGGCCCTTTCTGCGGCAGGGCATGCCGTGCCGTGCCCTGTTCCCTCACGCACTCACTCCATGGAGACGCGGAACTGGACGGTGTCCTCGGGCTGCGGCACGCCGGGCCGCACCGCCAGCATGAAGAAGTTGGGCCGGAAGATCCGCAGCTGCGGGCCGCCCAGCTGGAACAGCGGGTACCTGCGGGGAGACGATGCCGCTCAACTGACTCGCTCACCCACCGACCGGCCGACAAACAGACAGACACACCGGCACCCCCCACCGTCGCCCCTACCCGAGCCCACCCAACCTGTCCCCCGCCACGACCCGGCCCGTCCCTTCCCGCTCACACGGCCTTCCTGGCGCCCGTCGCCATGGCGGTGGCGGTGAGCGGGGCCGGAAGCGGCGCGGCGGGAGGAGCGGCTCCCGGCGCGGCGGCAGCAGCAGCTGTCGCCCCCTGCTGGCGCGGAGGAGCGCGGCGGGGTAGAGGAGGGGGGAGCTCTGTGATGGATGGCGGCGGGGTCAGGCGCCCTCAGCCCGGCCGCCCTTTCCTCATGGCTGCCCCCGACAACCGCATCCCGCCCCGGGTGCCCCCTGGAGCTACTCGGGGCGAGGTGGGGCACAGCCTTGAGGCAGGGGAGAGTTCCCCAGAGGAGCCGCAGAGCCAAGGGGCGGTTGGTGGTTGGGGCAGGGGGAGCACCTGCAAAATGGTGGTGTGCAGCTTTGGCCGCGTTTCACTCGATGCTTTCCTCGGAGTTACAAGAGGTGTTGTCCCTAAACTCGTAATTACCCGATGTGCAGTCCAGTAACACAGATAGTCAAGATATTAGCTTTTTATTAGCAGTTCCATGCAGAAATGGGTCCAGAGTAGAGCCACAAAAATGGTGGTAGGGCTGGGATGCCTTCCCTGTGAGTAAAGGCAAAGAGAGTTGGGGTTGTTCAGCCTGGAGAAGAGAAGGCTCCCGGGAGACCTTATAGCGAGCTTTCAATACTTAAAGGGGGCTTATAAGAAAGGCAGAGACTTTTTACAAGGCCTGTCATGACAGGACAAGGGACAACAGCTTTAAACTGAAAGAGGGTAGGTCTAGATTGGACATAAGGAAGAAGCTTTTTACAATGAGGGTGGTGGGACACTGGACGAGCTGCCCAGAGAAGCTGTGGATGCCCCCTCACACTGGAAATGTTCAAGGTCAGGCTGGATGGGGCTTTGAGCAACCTGATCTAGCAAACACCCTTCCTGCCCACAGCAGGGGGGGTGGACCAGATGATCTTAGAAGGTCCCTTCCCACCTCAACCACTACTATGAATCTATAAGGCCACAGCATGTGCTAACAGAGAGCCAGAGTGTGAACGTGGGCACTGGAAACAGCCAGAAGTTTGAAAACATGGGCGAGAACCACCATTCCTGGTGGGCTGTCCTCCAACGGGGCATTTCAAGGGTTGGCAAGGACAACAGGCCCTACAGAATAGCGCACATCCCAAATTTAGTAACAGCCATTTGTGTTTTGACATCTCCACTGAATTAACCAAGTAATTCACGCTTGAGTATTGGGATTTAGTATTATACGTAGGGTAACTGCCTCAATAAACATTTTAATGTAATATTTGAATGATTTCTTCTCTATATTGTACTGTGATTTGTCTGCATTTAAGAAATTCTGTGTACTGAAAATACTGCTTCTGTGGATTTGTTTCTTTTCCCGATTCTTTGATTCCCTTCATCACTCAAACTTGTAAGTCAGTATCAAGTACATTTGGCATCCAGATTATGAGCATCCCCAGAACAGGGTCAGCTTTTGTTATCTGCCTGTATGGTGGCTGTAAAACAGACCTCCAGCCCGGGTCTTTGTGGATGATACTGAGCTTCATTCCCAGGTGTAGAGCTGGATCAAATGATATTAAGTAAGGATTTGGAACAACTCCCAAATCCCTGCAAAATGGGATGCCATTAAATAAAGTATGAAAAATCATTCCAGCGAGTTGTCATTTGGAGTAGGTACTGGTCGCACTTTATTTACAAAATCCAGAGATTTGTACACAGCAATCTACAGGACAGCATAGGGCTGGTATCAGGAGGATAAAGGACATGCTTAGCAAGAATTGAAGATGCCAGCAAGGAGTCATCCAAGTTTCACAAGGAACCTGCTTCCTTTTGACTGAGGAAGCCACCAGACCCCTCCAGGAAGAAAAAGAAAAGCAGCAGCAATAGCCAACCCAGGCTGATGTTGCGATTTTTGTTATCGTTGAGGCGTGGGAGCACAAGTGATTGGTGAAGAAAGAAAGAGGAGACCAGCAGGGTTTCTGCACACCGCTAAGGGCCATCCTGCCTGGTTCTTTACTTCCAGCGCCCGCCAACCTTGCCCTTGGCTCCTGCCTTCTTGCTGCTACAATGCAAAAGGAAAGGAAAACATGTCAGCGTGATGGAAGTGGTGGGGCTCTGTAAGCACTGCACATTTCTGACTCTCAGATTGAGCTGCTTTCACTTCTCACATGTTGGGCATATCTGCCATAGAGCACATCCTGAGAAAAATATTGTTGATATTGTGGAAGGAAATACCTCAGGTTCTTAGTGAAAGGCCAGGATGTGCATGCCTGAAAGAGGTGGACCCTTCCAGATTCCTGCATTATCAGGACAGAAGTCCATGTGGTCTCGAAAGTAAATTACAGACCTGTCCAGCCCCAGACTTGATGTTTCCTGAATTCAAATCTGCTATGATCTGGATTTTAGGATTTAGAGCTGTTTCTGGTGAAAATTTGTTCATTATCAGGGACCTCTGGTCAAATGCCCCAGATGGTCTAGTCATCTCGTAGTGGAGACAAAAAGCTGAGAAGTAATTTAAATACAACTATGAATTGCTTTGCTCTAGCGAAGGCAGAGTGGGTTCTGTCTTATATCGCAAGAGCAAGAGCCTCCAAAACAGTTCAAACAACTGTTTAGGCCTCCCCTCGTATCAATATCCCCGTCTTGCTTGCAGTGTGTGTGGGAGCAGTCCAGCTACACTCCCCACACAAAGCACCTGAGGCAAACTCTGCAAATAGTATCTTCTTGCACACAGAAGGGCAAGCCTGCATGCAAGCCACTTACCTTCTGACGGAGAAGCAGGCACGCCTGGAGTCAGAGAAGGGCCAGGCATGAAGTTAGTTGGGTTAGATTCTGCACCGGCTCCCCTAGGCAGTACCTTGGTGTTTGGGGCTCGGCGCACCACCAAACCTTTCCATCTCACACACGTGATGATGAGGCTGCTTCTTGAACCAAAGCACATGCAAACTGGGGGCAGCTATTTGACATGGCAGAGCATGGAGTTGGGGGACAAGCACAAGGTGGTGGGGTCTTGCTGTCAACAGAGAGACCTTCTTCAGAACCACTGGTTCCTCCAGGGAGCAGAAAAAAAATGTGGACGACACATCTGGGGAGATTTTTGTGTTGCTGTCCCATGGATTGGTTCAAGAGCACTAGCCATATTTACAGAAATAAGTAGCACAGCGACACAGACGTACACAGAGTGGATACTTTACCTTTTGACCAAGTTAGGCTTGGTCTATTTGAAAAAATTGATCTTTTACATGAGAGAGAGCAGAGCGTTTTCTGCTTATCTTAAATTCATCCCAGTGTCCCTTTTGCCAGCCTTTCCACAAGTGTAGGAGCTGCATAGCTCCTCAAACGAAGGCAGAGTCCTTTTATCTCCATAAGCGCCTGTGATGTTTGATGTTATGCCTAACCTTTAGAGTGTGCTTAAGGAGACTTAGTAAAGTCTGAAGCAAAAGGATCACTTGATCCTTGTATAACACATTAGCAGACACTGCTTTGGAATGATAAAATCCAGTGTGGGTAGAAATTTAAGTGCACAGAAATCACACGAGCTGTGGGCTTCTCGGTGCAACATTTTCAAATGCTGTCCTGAGAGAGTGCCATGCCTTTTGGGGGAACAAGCATGCAGTAGTGGTACTGCCTGATGTGGGTGGTGTGGTAGTGCCCCTCAGAAGAGCAGCAACACCCAGACAAACCATGGCATTCTTCTGCAGCTGTGCATTCTACTGAGGTTTTTCAGCCTACAGCTCTGTACAGAAAATACCACGGGAAGGTCAAGCCTTATGTTTGGCGTCTACGGACAACTGAGCCCCCAGTGTTACATTCATCTGATAAGGCAGGGTGGCTTGAGGAAGTGGGAAGGCAGTCTTTAGTCACTGCTGTCACCCAAAGATGACACCAAAGACCACCACTTCATTCCTAACATGACTTTTCTAAGAAGCTACAGAAACACAGTGAAGATCAAATCCCACCACTTCAGAGCTCTTATCCCTTGCTTTCCTGCAGTTCCTTCTTTGTGTCTACTAGTTTTCTACATGCCCTAGGCCCCAGGCTTTCTCTAGCTCTGGTATCTCATAGGTTCACCTAGTATAGTTTAAGATATAAAGACTCAAAAAATCTAATGAAATAGAAGTCTTGTGAGGAAGGAAAGTGGGAGAGAGATGATGAGTGAAAAGAACTCACAACAGTAATCCCATGATGTTAGTCTTGTTACACACCATTCCTTACAATCTTAGCAACCACTTGTTTACTCTCCATAAACAAGGGTTGTATTCCCTCAAGTATTCAAAGCACCTCAGTCAGGTGTTTGAAAACCCCCAAAATAAGCAGATGGAATTTTTTTGGACATGGTGTGAAGAAACATGATTTTTTTTCTTGTTAGCTGTTACGTTCACTTCAGGTTCCCCTTCATTTTCTCAATGTAAGGCAGGGTGGGAGTTGCCCTTCCATCCCTAGCCTCATTTCATTGCAACAAGAAAATGTTGGTGTTGAGGCTGAAGCGACCACTTTGAACACTGAGAAGATATCCCCAAGCCAGGAGCTTGGAAGGGGATATAGGTACTTACTGCTTCTGAGCCTGATCAATCCGGTTCCTGAGGGTGACAATCTGCAAACAACATACATGACGAGGGTTTTTAGAGATAAAGAAACCTTGTTCCCTCACAGAGAGGGGAGTTTTACCTGCTGAAGTGCTGGAAGCAGGTGCCTCTGGTTGGGATTAATACTTCCTTTGAAATAAAAGCTCAACCTTGCTTGAAGGAGAGAAATGTTGCTCCTTGGCAATAAATCTGCAAGCCCATTTCATACGTCAAGGGAAAGAAGAACTAGAATTTTATAACCCTTATTAGAAGAGCTCCTATGTATACAAATTAATCTCCTATGAACTCACGTGGCAGGCAAGTGAACCAGAATGAACATCCCCCTGGCCAGCTGGAAAGCTCTTGCATGGCCCCATCCACTTGTATGTGTCAAACCCCACCTTCTCACTCTTCCCCTACCGCTACACATTCAGAAGTATATAAGCTGTAAGAGCTTTAGTAAATTTTGGATAGGGACCTCAAGAATGGTCACACATTCTGCTGAAGGACCTTTGTTTGTTGGGAGAGCAGGAGGGGAGGAGCTTGCAGCAATCACCACCTTCCCAGC